AGCAGATATTTTGACAACTGCCAGCTGTCCCCATGCCCATGCCTTGCACCAACTATCTCTATACAGATATTTCCGACGTGAGATGGTGTTTTTCTATAAATACAAGCCTCCCCTAAGGGTTTGGGGTTAGAAAATTTTGCCAAGAGCCATAACTTATCAAACACTCTTCCCTCCTCTCTTGCAATATACATACACTTCCTAAGCCAAAAACTTGAAGCTTTTTGCTGATATTCTTGAACACAATTTCAGCTCTTAAGAATGCTCAACTTGTGGCTTGTTAACTAGGAAGCTCTTCCTCTCTTTAAAGGGGTAACTTTTAACTCTTTAACCATCGTTTCTCTCAATTTTCTTGGTGTTTACTTAGTGTTTTTCAGAGTATTTTGAGGCCTAAAATATGTGACTTTAAGTCACAAAAAAAGAGGAGGGGTTAGCCACTCTTCCTTAGGCTTGTCGGTTAGTTGAAATCCTTTGGCTTTAGCCCGTTTTTGCTCACTTTTTTCACCTCAAAAACTTGAATTTCTGTACTGTTTTTGTGCTGTTTCAGAGTTTTTTAAAGCATCCCTAGCTGATCCCTTATAATAGCTTTTTGTTATTGTAAAGGTTAATTCTTCAAACAATGCTTGAATAGTGCCGAGAGAGAAAAAGAGTGATTGGAAAGAACAATGCTTGAACAAATGGCATTCTTCTCATATTTGCTATGTTTTTTTTATGAACAATGCTATGCTTCTGCTTTCTTCTTGTTTTTGTTTAATTATTTTATTATTAAAAAAATTCAAATTTAAAAACAATTAAAAAGATTATTTTAATAGAATGGAGAAAGAATGGGAAGTTTGATGGGAAAAGTAAATGAAAAAGTGATTCCTAAAATAAGAAATGAATTTTTTATTAATATTTTAGGATAAAATTTAAGTAAACTGCTGGGGATGCTCTTAGTGTGCTAAATTATAATTTAAATACTATAGATGTGTTGTTCTAAGTACTCATGGCTATAGCTTTCAATCCGTTTGAGTTGATAGTCTTTTCTTTCACTTTTTTATAGCTTTTATACATATTCACACCATTGTAATCACCCTTCTATCTCTGTAACATCCCTCCATTCTTTGTTTCTTTTGATTAAAAAGTTGAATTAAACAAAAAATTACTGCTCAAGGCATAAGAAAGAGACCTTTCATGCTAAATGGTTTAATCTTTTCAGAGGTTCATTACTAAGACATTACATCTCTCTTATGCTATGCGTGATCTCTCATTTGATACTTCTCTTTATCGCCGGTGCATTACTTCTAAGGGACTAACTTTTTAGTTAGACCCTTGGAAATCACAAAGGAAAGTGTCATTATAGCTTATTATCAAGTTTGGATTTGGAGTCATTATCGCTCATTTTGAGTTTGACTTAGAATTCATTATAGCTTGTAAATGAGTTTGTTTCTTCCTTTGTAATTTCTCCCATAGAAAATGGCTTGAAAAGCTCATTTCTCGGGTTAAGTCGTGCTTGTATTCTTTATTGCTTTGGATTTAGTGGACGTAATTATCACCTTTGGACAAAACTGAAGAAAAGATAAGAAATGCAAAGGTAGTGTAAAAAAGGTAATAAAATTGGGTTAGGTTCAATCAGACATTATATTGAGCCTATTGCATCTTGAATCATTGCATACTTTTTTAGTGATGTTTAATGATTCATGAGGCAAGTCTATCCCTTCCATTGAGATAACTCCATGATAAGGAGGATGTGTTGTTTGTCTTACTTCATTTTATTGAGCTTTTGTCTTATCGTTTCTATGATCATCACGCAACAAATTTGCGATAATTGATGATTTGAGAATCGAATCGAATCTACTCCTCCCTTGATCATCTTCATGATAAAGAAAGGCAGAGAGGATAAACATCTCCTAAAAACACTTTGTTTTGCTCTGTTTTAGCTCTGTTGCAGCAGGGTATTGTCCAGTAGCAATAGTTGGCCAGCCATTATTCTGTACGACCGACCAATTCTTAAGGCCGACTAGCCATCCATTTTGTACAAACAGTGGCATTTTTACAACAAAATAGAGCAGAACCTGAGGCCAAAACAAAATAATTTTCTTACTGCAAGCAGAGCAGATTCTAGCAGCAAATAGAGAGATTTTCGAGAGGATGTTCTCAGTTGTGCGCATGTAGCTCCTCGCCTCCCGTCCAAGTATATTAAATTAGCGTTTTAATATTAGTATGTTGTAATTAATTAGTTGTTTTACTTTTATTTGGACTTGTAATAGATAATTAATTCGTCTAGTTTATTCATTTGAGTTTGTAATAATTAGTTTAATTAGGAAATTAATTCAGATCCTTTTGTACGAGGGCAAATTTGTAATGCTTGTAATATTCTGTATGTCTTCTAATTTCCATTTCTTTCTCCTTTTTATTTATATGTTTATCGTGGTCGCATCATATTTTTCGTTTCATATCATTTCCATGCTTAATATTCATTTTTGCATGCATTGGGTTCGGTTCACCATTCTAATATTGTTGTCATTTCCTACTTACTTGAATATGTGCATTGCCGCATGCCTTGAGTTGATCCATACGACATGTTAAAATAAACCGAACCTAGTAGTTGCATTTTGTATGTGTTGCATTAGTCACTTGCATATTAGAGCATGCATTTTTCTAATTATTTTCCTCTCTTTGGCTTGCCTTGGTTGAGTACGTGGTGAGCATTTTTGCTTTAGCATATTGCATGTGTGTTTGTGTTACCATATCAAGCATACTATCATGAGGCTAAGTACTTATTTAAAATACCTCTTTGAATACTTATGGATGAAGGCTATTTCACTTAAATTGGGATAATTTTGATTAATGTACATATGATCTTACTTTTTCAAGTAGCACATATTCAAAACTCATTTCAAATAAATATGAAATCAAAGCATTCTAAAGTATGTGACATAGTCTATACTTGTATGCCTCACATAGTAATATTAGCATAATAATCAAAACATGAGCATATAATGTTGACAAAAATCACATCATGATTAGAAGATGCCGATCTTTGATCGGGTGAGTGGGGTGCTCAAATCATGACCTTCCCTTCTCATACCTAAGTTTTCGAGCTGAGACGCTTTAGTTATGACGGACAATTAGCCTTTGGCATGAGTCACGAGTTTCCTAAATTTCTCAAAAATATTTAGGTAGGGACTCTGAAATTTGGCAATGTAGTCCATTTTTGACATCTCTGATGATTAAGAGATTTTCTAAGATTTGTCGGATTTGGACTCTCATTCGTGTTTTTTTTGTTTCACATTGTACTTGTAAAATCAACTTTAGAATCACGAGAGTCTGAACTGTAGGACTATCGTACTCGAGAAGACTAAACCCTTTCGAGGAGCGCGAAAATCTAGCTACACCATGTCATTTAGGAAGTTTATGGGAGGTGAGAAATGGTATGAATAAATCATTTTTCTTATTAGAAACAGTAAAACCAAAGTGAAGAGTATAATTTATCCCAAATTAAAACAACATATAGGAAAATGCTCTGTCCCCCAAATTGAGGACCCCCACTTGCACCACCACTGACATGGAAAGTCCAACATAAAAAGAGACTCACGCTCTATTTTCTCTCTCAAAACCCTCCAATCTCCCTCTCTCTCCTCTTGATCCAAATCAGATCCCTTTGTGGCATTTTCCTACTTTCTCTCTTTAGAAACTGTCAAACCCACCACCATCGCCAGCAGCAGCAACCCCTTTCCCCCATCGACGACCGACTCTATCCCGCCAAGCCCCCTATTCCTCTCCCTCCTTCCCTACCCTCTTCTCTCTTTCCCCTTTTTTGCTTTCTATTTATCCTTTCTTTCTCTCTTTGCCCATCGCGACCAAAAAGCTCCAATTTTTTGTTTCTCTTTTGTTTCTTGTATTGAAGCTCTGTCTAGCGATGGAGGAAGGAGAAACTTGCCATGATTAAAATGTTTCTCTACATGATTATATATATGCTTTGTTTCCCCCTCTCTCTATATGTCAATAATTATATATATATGCTTTTTACAATCTAAAAAATTAGAGGAAGAAGTAGAAGAGGAAGTGGGTTTGTATAATTGAAAATTTTCTTGTTTGATTTTTTTGTTAAACCGCTGTTGAATATAGTTTTGAGAATTCAAATTGTATAAACATGTGTCTATGTAATCATGATGAATGAGTTTCTTTCTAGACTTTTGGTGGGTAAAAAAATGAAAAAAGAAAAAAAGTTGGTCGACCGGCAGTTTTTTTGGCCGGCTGAATGGTTTTTTTTGGTAATGGCGTCGGAAAAATAGAAAAAGGAGCAATGGTGGTCTTTATGAGACTTATTGGGGGGGACGAAGATGGAAGAGAACGAGAGACGCGAGGGAGATAGAGGAGGGAAAGGGGGAGAGAGGGAGAGAGAAAGGTTGCGATGGGTTTGCAATGGTGATGGCACCGTCGGTGGGTGGAGGGAGTTGTCGAAGAGAAATGAAACGAAGGATGCAAGAGAGGGAGTATGCCGAAGGATGCTAGAGTGAGAAAGAGAGAAGTCTAAGGGAGTGAGAATTTTTTTTCTTCTTCTCATAGGTGAGTGTATCACACCTTCTTCCACTGCAATTCTTTTTCACATGCCCATATCAGTTGCCACATCAGTAGGGGTCGTGAGGTCATATTTGTGTGGGGGTCTGTAGCGGGATTGCAATATGTTCACCAATTTTAACCAAGTCACAGCTAATCGGATTAAACTATATTGTTGGACTGTGGTAGGCCCGATTATGGGTTAATCTTGATAATCCAAATCGTTTAATGTATAGAATTCGTCGAGTATATTATCCCTATAAAAAAAATCACGTTAATCAAATATTAATAACCATTTAATAATATTAAAATTTATAATTTTCATAATAAATTACAAACACAAATATAAACTGATCAAATAACTATCAACATTTAATTAATAGAATTTGTATTAATAGAATTTTTATATATTCAACAACTTTTACATATTAAATAATTTAAATCATCCATACAGGCTCAGAGTCACACCGACCCAACAGAGAGCAACTGGACCCTGTTAACTACACGCATAAACCTCCTATGTCTATCCGCTCACCTCTACGCACATGTCGTTCGCCCCTTTCTCTGCTATTTCTTCTCTCTCTCTCTAGAGATTTTGCTATCTAATGGCGCGAGTTCTCTCACAAACCCTAACCCGAATCTCCTCATCGCCATTGCCAAACTCAACCATCCTCTACACTAAATCATCATCATCCTCCTCGCCTTTGGCTCTCTCTCCTCGCATCCTCTCCCACCGGAACCGATCGAACCAGTCTGGTAAGGCTCAGCTCGTCGAAGTTGACCTCGACTCCGACGGCAGTGGCGGCGGTGAGATCGAGGTCATGGGGGTCCGGAAGCTCGAGGATGTGATTCACAGCATCATCGTTCGGCGATCGGCGCCCGACTGGCTCCCCTTCATCCCCGGCTCGTCCTACTGGGTCCCTCCCCGACGTCGGCCTTCAGGGATTGTGGAATTGATCGGGAAGTTGACGAAACCCTTGTCGGAGGAGGAGGGTATGTCCTTCACGACGGAGCGAGGGTGGCCTTCTTCGACCTATTTCATTGAAGGTAACTCTGAAATTTCTATCCCTAGGGTGTCTGTTTGGTTTTTGAGAAAATTGAGGAAAGTAATAAAAATTATGTTTTGAGTCTTCTAGACCTTGGTCAATGAGGTTGCTGGGGTATGCGAAGCCGAAATTCCATCGACCTTAGTTTGGTTTCCGAGAAAAATTTAGGAATGGGGTCTCGTGGAAATTTAGCTCATTTATGCCGAATTGGTGTATTAGGGTGACTGATGCGAGAATTCTTCTGTATCTAATTGATGTGGTTAGCCATTTTTAGGGTAAAATGTTTGTTACTTTGTTGTGGGTTTTGTGTGATAAAACTCATATGGTTACTATGATTGATGGGTTTTGTCTTTTCTCTCTCTTAAATTGATACAAGCTTGAGAAGAAATTTATAAGCTTGAGAAAATTTAGGAATGGAAAATGAATGAATGTTTTTAGTCTCATGGAAATTTAGCTCCATTTTGCCGAATTGGTGTATTATTGACGTCGTTAGCCATTTTTAGGGGAAAATGTTTGTTAATTTGTCGTGGGTTTTGTGTGATGAAACTTGTTAACATATGGTTACTATGATACGTTTTGTCTTTGCTCTCTGTTAAATTGATACAAGCTTGATGTTTGAATCTTGCATCTAAATTTGAAGCCTGGTGGACCTAGTTCTGCCTGAGAGGTTGAAGGTATACATAAGACGTATTCACAAATACAATGACACGGGCCATACCCCATTGCCAGCATGCAAAAGATTTGACTTTTACACAGGCCATACCCCATTGCCAGCATGCAAAAGATTTGACTTTTACAAGCGCTTGGAATAAAGACTCTACTGGGTCATGTAGTATTTGAGTTCTAAGGGGTAATCTTTGAAATATGTGGAGTCTTTTAATATGTTATTATAATTTACATCTACATGAACTGCTTGTATATTGCATTCCCTACAAATTGGAGTATACCTCGTTTTGCTCAAGAAAAGTCTTTGGAGCCATTAGCACATAAAATCCAGTGGGTTAACATCCTGGAACTAGCACTAGGGGTGTGCATGGGTCTCTTTGGTTCAGTTTAACACTAACCAATCCAATCATGTTCGGTTCCATTTTAACATAACACAAGTAATGAAGAACAAAATATTGTTTTAAAAGAAAATGAGTTAAGTTTGGTTATATATAAGTTATAACCAAATATATGAAAGATGAGGAGTAGTTTGATGGAGGATGGAGTAGATGAAGGATAAGTGTGATAATTTAGCACTAATAATCTCTTTTTCATTCTCCATTACCATGTGACAAATCAGCTTGTTAATTATTATTATTATTATTAGTATTATTATTATTATTTTAAGTTGGACATATACAACGTACTCAGAGCAACACCGTGTTCGTTTGACACGGTTAGTATGGCTGCCCTATGCACCCCCCTGCCCCTCCTTATTTTAAAAAAAATATTTTTGTACCCATTCCTGGGAGTCTAATTCAACCTATCCATTTATGCAGATAACACTATTATTTTCTTCATTTTATGCTTGTGTGTTTTGAGGTAGTTTTGGGCTTGAAGGTAAACTTAAGTAAATTGGGTATGAGTTTGGGTGGGGATGTTCCATAGTTGGGGGTTTTGCCTTGCATCTTTGGTCGCAAAGTGGAGTCCTTGCCTTCTTCATATTGGGGACTTCCGTTGGGGTCTTCATTTGAGGCCAAGTCGGTTTGGGATCTAGTATTAAGAGATTTCAGAGGCAGTTGGCAAGATGGAAGAAGCATTATTTATCTAGAAGTGTTACGTTGACCTCGATAAAAATTACCTTGTCAAGTCTACGACCTACTTCATTTGTGTCTTTCTCTTCCATCCCGCCTTCGGTGGTAAAGAGATTGGAGAAATTGCAGCATGAGTCCTTTGGGGTGGGATTGAAGATGAGTAAGGAATAAAATTTTGTTTTGTTTACGTCAAAACGGTCGAACTTACACAAAACATTAGTAGGATATTGAAATTCTAATGTTTTCACTAAAACATATTGAAACTCATCGACACATTGCTAAACATACCGAAACATGAGTCTTTTATACCTATTCCAGATCCAACAAGAGTCATTTCTATTCTTCTTTTTTTTAAAAAAAAAAAAAGAAAATATTTAGAAAGAAAAATTCTTAAATTTATTAGAGAAAGTAAGGCTTGTTGATAGCATGAGGGGTGAATTTTTTCCCAAAAAACCGGACTGACCAATTGGACCAAATAGGTTTGGCTGGTTTTTGGCCAATGTTTGTACTTCAGTTCTGTTGTTTTCGGATTTATACAAATTAAATTAAAACCAACCAAACCAAACTGCTGTTAAGAGTCTCCAAATCGTAGTTGTCATTGCATATACCCTTAGTTAATCTTTGTCATCTGTACGGTGCAGCAGAGGCCACACATATTATGTAAGACCTCAGCCCTCATCTCTCTCTCTATAGTGTTTAAAATGAAATAATATCAAAAAAACTAAGGTGTATAGATGTATATACATATAGACCCATGGAAATCTTTCTTTCTGTATAGTAAAGCATCATAGTTGAAAGAAACTTAGGCCATGTTTGTTTAGCGGCTTGAGTGGTCGAATTGAATTATCATGGTTGTGGGTCCCACCCACAACATGTTTGGTAGTGAAATGGAAGGGCGGATTGATAGTCCAAGGGGTTTAGTAATCCCTCTCAGTAGGAGGATTAGTTTGGTTGGGTTTTGGATGGGATTAGGAAAATAGTGAGGAGATTGAGTCTATTTTATATAATAAAAAATTATTTTTTTTTAATTTTATTTTTTTTACCAAGTGCAGCGGTTTGTTTTAATATTTGTTTTAATTTTATTTATATAAAATAATTTATTTATTTATTTTATATAAAAATAATTTAACAATCCCATCACCAACCATCTCCCATAAGGGGGGTGTTTGGGAAGCCTTGGGTTGGGCTATTTTAGCCTCAAATAAGAAAATAGCCAAAAAGCCTCACCTGTGCATGATTTTCAAAAAAAAATAAAAAATAAAGTCAAATGATTACGGCTGCTGCAGCAACGCAGCCTACACTGCCACCAACAGTGTAGGCTGCAGACAGGTTTAATTACAATATTACCCCTACACAGTAATTTTGGAAAAAATAAAATCAGGGACAAATTTGTCATTTCAATTTAAACATCATTTCAAACACATTTTTCAATAGAACAACTCAAATAAAAATTCATCCCATCTTCCCAAACACAAAAACTAAAATAGCCTATTAAAATAGTCAAATAGCCAAAAAACTTAAAAAATAGCCACTTCCCAAACGAAGCCATACTATCATCAAAACAAACACATTTTTACTTAATTCCCTCACTAATAATCCCTACATTAACAATCTCTTTATTAACCATCCTCTCACTAACAATCTCATCCAACCGAATCCGCCAAACAAACTTGGCCTTACTGTGTTGCTATTCCAAACACATTCAACACTAGGGCTGTGTTTAGATCATTGATTTGGGTAAAGAATTGAAAAGGGAAAGAAAAATGTAAATAAAATATAAGTTTCTCTATTTCTCTACCCTTTTCCGTTTCCTTTATTAATCTTTTCTCAAACTCATGATTCAAACTCAGCCTAAAATTCAAAGAAACACGCTATTGAAGCAGTTATATGATGTATTATAAAAATCTTGACAATTTGCTTGCTTTTAAATAATAAAACTAGGAGAGTAAAACCATTGATTGAACATGCAGTGGAAAATAGTCAAGAATTTTTGAATGCCTAAATAATTTTTTTTATTTTTTGATTGCAGGTAGTGCACCAATGCATCCAGTTCCACTGGAGCTGCAGGCGGAGCTGAAGGTTGAGGACAACTTGGATAATGCATCTCGATCTGAGGATGAGGAAGGTTAAAAATCATCACTTTGCAGAAATGCTTGCTAGGGTGAGTGAGCTTACCATAGCAGCAAGCACTGCCTTTTTAACATGGAACTCTTACTTTTAGCATAGCACTAAGTTTTTAAGTGATGGGACTTAACCTACTTTCTCTTGTGCATTTAGGCTATTGATTTGGGTAATGGCTCTGATTTTTGTGTTCAGGGACATACCTTAAATCTGTTGCACCTGAAACTAATGATATTGTGGTATTTTTCTGGTACTGCTTGATACAAACATATCTGCATAAAAAAAAAGGTCTTGTTTGATTAGATTTGTAGTTATTTTATTTTGTTTTGTTTATTTATTATTATATGAGCTAGGTTCACACTTGCAAACTATGTATAAAAAATTATAAAACCAAAAAAGTAGATGAATGGTTTTTCTGTCCTATCTGGCTCTGTAATGTGTGACAAGTAGTGGCAAGGCATATCATATTATCTTTTAACTGTCTTAGTGGTTGGAATTTGCAGGGTTGCTGGCTCACATTTGTACATAAATCTAAAACTGAAAAAAAAAAAAAAAAATGAAAATGCTAGAAAGTGAAGCTGTGCGGGAGAAAGGCAAGTGAGGCAAATGGATGTCTGTACAGATGGAACCTTTGATATTGTGAGGCTCCTGGGATCTTAATAGAGTTGCTGCTTTTCTAGTTGTCAAGCTCTCATCAGTTTTACCTAAAAGCATAGCCCTTCTGTTGTGTTGTTTTACATTACCATGAAAAATGCTATTGTATGTTTTAGACATGGATATAGGCTAGATGTTGCATTGCATTTATTGCTTTTGATCATTTTCCGATCATTAGCACTAATGGTCTATTGCACGTGTTGCTGTACTCATGTCCAAACATAACCCTTGCCATTCGTAGCCCCCCTTAGCCAGGATTCTTGACTCGGACATGGGGTTTGTTGTGACAAGGGGAGCATCTTCAGTTGGAATTAGAGTTTGCGTTGACAGCCAATATAGGGTTTTTTTTTTTTCCTTCAACAGAGAACATCCAGTTAGGTTGGTATTTGGTATTTGCTGTATGATTATGTTTATTTTCAACTGTCGTAAACGAGTTGGGAGAAATTTTATACATGTTTGTTTGTAACTGTACTGTATGAATTCCAATTTGGTTGCAATCAGGCTATAGCCTACTATGCAAAGCAGCTGCTCAGATCCAAGCAAAAACATGTCACTATTGAATGGAATAAATATGTTTAGAACTTAGATTATTGCACAATCACCTTGGCCTCAGATTTTAGAGATTTTAAATAAGTGTTATTCTGAGATGTTTTTGGCTATATTTGTGTGCGACATTTGTAATTTCTTGAATTCTTCTTAGGTTTGAACTATGATCCTACTCGGAATTGTAATGAAAGCTTATTTTGCCTGCCGGTTAGGTTAACTTGTGTTGAGCCTTGCAGTTGTTGTACATTGCTATTAGTCTGAGATCAGATTGCCTAATTGGCTGGCCAGTGAAGACTGCTTTTCACGTGTCATTATATATATAATGTATTCTATGGTTTGAGATTTTTAAGCTAAGGTTTTAGAAGCCAGCCAATGTTTGATGATCTGTTTCATTATTCAAGATGGGTTGGTTCCAAGCCTAGTGTTTCCAGGCGTTTTAGAGGCAACGTCTGTTTTATCACTGTTATTTTGTTCTTACTGAGAAAATTTGGGAGTGCATTGTGTTGATGCACAAGATGATATGGTCATTTTGCGAAAAAGAAGTGCACAGAAAATTAAAATGCAAAACAAAGTATAGAGAGTGATGTAGTAATTTATAGTGATTTTTTGACCTTTTAGTGACATGTATAGTTGACAAACAAGACGTTAGTATGAAGAATTCTTTGACAAAATAAGAAATGTAAATGAAGCTGCCCAGGAATTTGGCTTTAACTTAATACGAAAGTGATTGGGAAATGGGAGGAAAAAATCACTTCAGGTTTGTAATCTAAGAGTATAATAACTACTTGTTTGTATACATAATTTCGGGGAATCAAGTGGCCGGGTAGTTGAGCCTCTGTACTTTCATATTCAAGGTTGGTTGATAAATGATCATTTCTTACCGTATTCCTACATTTTTCATGAAAAACAAATCAAATCTCAATCTTTGAATATGTTGTCTTCATCTTTAAAAGCAGTGTCCTTGCATCGCCAAAGGTTCCTCCTCTCGTCAAGCCTTTACTTGAATAGCATTGTCCTTGCATCGCCAAATGTCCCTGCTTTCGTCAAGCCTTTCCTTGAATAGTTGGGGAGGCTTCCTAATCATTTTAAAAAAAAATTATTTTGCTAATGTGTAGCAGTGAGAGTCAAAAATAGTGATTGGACCAGCCTATGGTATGTTTGGAAAATTATCGAAGTTGTTGGTAAAGAGCGTGAGAGGCAGAGAGTTCACACAATTAAATCAGAAGCGTGAGTGTGGATACTTGTTTTGGATGTTTAAAATCTAATATTGTTAATAAGTTGGTATAATTAAAAATATGTGTACAGAATTAGTACACAGAAAAATATATAAAGAAGCAATGCATGGTTGAAATTCAATTCATACATTGCGGGGTTCATATTTAAAATAAATATTTATCACACAATAAATTTTCTTCATGTATTTTTGTGCACTAATTCTGTGTATTTAACATTGCTCTAAGTTTTTTTTTTTGGGAACGCAATATTGCTCTAAGTTGGTAAAGGTTGTTTTAGTTGGAATGAGTTCTTGAAACCTCGAGTCCAGAGAGTAAACTATTAAGGATAGCATTGCACATATTTTATATTACAACCTACAAATGATTCAACTAGGTGGATGAACAAAAAAGGGAAAAATTACCCATAGGTGCTGTTTGAAATATGTGTATATTATTTAATCTAACAACTTTTTTAGTAGACTTAAAAGTCCTACACGTTTTCTTCTCTCTCTCTCTGCGTTTTCTCTCATTCTTTACATTTTCCTCTTCTTTTTTTTTTTTTCTACATTTTCCTCTCATTCCCTTTGTCATGTCCAGCGATCGATGATCACACCTTCCTCATTCTCTTTCTCTTTTTAATATATAGTCACCGATAACTGACGACCATTATTAATTGAGGCTCGCTAACAACCACCAACCACCAACCATCAACCATCAACTCGTTACTTCATTCCCACCGACGGCGAAGAAGATGAGTAGATCTACTCAAATCTGATGTAGATCTGCTCAGATCTATATCAGATTGAGAGGAAGATCTCATAAATTGACACTGGGCCGAGCTAGTCTGGACCGAGCTAAGCTGGGCCAAGCGTAGTTGGGCTGAGCTAAGTTCATACGGATACTGGGTGAGCTCGGTCAGGGCCAAGGTCTGGTCCAGTCGAAGCAACTTTAGATCATCAGCCAGGTTAATCATATTTGCTCCGCCGAGCTAGACGGGAGTAGTCTTCCACAGACCAGTCTGACTGGGCAGTATCTAGGTCAGAACTAAGAAGGTTGGCTAAGCCGCGGTGGGATCCTCTAGTTAAACTAAACGAGTATTACAGTTGTGATATGGTCACGGTGTAATGGCGAGGAACCATGTTATCTGTTCGCACCAAAGCCGTTTGGCGGTTTCGTTAGGTGGTGTTTAATTGTATTTGCGCTGACACGTGAGAAAATGGAAGATGAGAGCAAGTCCACGCGTCCAAAGGTGAATGGACGCAAAAGCGCGAACAAAAGTTATATAAACGGTGCTGCGCCCCCATACTCAGGTCTGAAACATCTTATGATCACGACTCACCTACCACTTTACCTCCTCTCTTTTCTCTCTCCCCTTGTGTGCTAACTTGACCGTCGGAAGGTTTTCCGATAGTACACCGCCAGGTAGCTCACCATCATTGTGTTCTCAGGTCGATGGAAGTGAAGTGCAGCTTGGATACGAGAAGTACGGGCAGCGACGAATATTTCCTCCCGTACAAGATTTGAGTAGGTCTACTTGAGATCCGACTAGATCTAAACAAAAAATAGTTGCTGGAGTACAATATTTTTGCTATATATATTTTTTCTTTCGATTTTTCAATTTTTTTATCTTTTCTCTGTTACACATGTCTATTTTTCTGTTTTAATGAAGAAAATTTTCAAGTTCTGAATAAGTTGTTTTTAAGTTTTAGTTACAGGCGGTGAAAACTGTAAAATTTTATAGTTTTAGCTTTTTTGGTGTTGAAATGAATCATGCTTTAAAACAACAAAAATTTACAATTTCATAATATTCTTTAGAACTGTAAAATTTTACAGTTTCATAACATATTTTCCAGCTTAATAGGATAATACTTTGAAACTGTAATATTAATATTTTACAGTTTCAAAACTTACTTTTCATTTTGATCAATATTACAAAATATTTGCTTAAACCTTATATAAATTGAAAAATAATATATACCTTTTCCCATTGTTGTTTGTTGTTGTTATGTTTTTTAACTATAATTTCTCTATTTTTTCTTTTTTTTTTCTTTTTTCGAGCAATATTTTGAATATTCCGATGTGTCTTTGATGATGTTCTTGACATTTCTTAGTAACGTTCAGAACACTCTGGCGAACTTCTGATGATACTCTGGCGACTTACCGGTGATATTGAATATTCCGGTGAGTCCGACGGAAGTCGTTGGATGTAACAGCATTCTTAAAGTTATTAAAAAAAAAAAAAGAAGATTTTTGGTAACAATTAAAAAAATGTAGGACTAATTGGTGCAAGTATTTTGTTTTTGGAATTAGATAGATTTTGAATTTTGTGTATGAGACATATTCGTAAGTGCCCCATTAAAAAAAATCACAAAAATTACTATAGCATTAAAGCATATGTAAATCTCAGTTAGTATAATAAATATTATAATAAATTGTAACAAAACTATATAATTATATTTCTAGTGTTAAAATATTTCAAAAATACTAAGTTATTGAAGATGCTCAAATAAAATCATATCTTAAGTTTTATAAGGAGTGCATCACTCACGTTTTTCTTCATGGTTATATACCAGTTCACAATTTCGTGGGTTTCTTATTAGAAGTCTTTATTTGTAAATTATTTCATTAAAAACAAATTAAATTGATCTAATAATAACAATTTTTATAATTTTATCATATTTATTTTTAAAAAGTAGATAATAATTTATAGAAGAGTAAATTACACTGATCATCCTTAAAGTTTAGAGAAAGTGCAGAAAATTTCATAATTTTGGTATAATTACATTATATTTCTTTGAAGATTTTAATTCACATAACATCTAACTCTCTTTTTTATTAATAATTCGTTAGATGAAAAATAATTTTATTTTCTCACCTATTTTATATTGAAATGTAATTTTTTCTTATATTTTCACACTATTTGTATCAGTTTCAACCCTTTTAACTTTATTAAGTAAGAGATCGGTGTAATTATACAAAAAAATATATGAGACTACCTATATTTTCTTCTGAATTTTAAGAACAGTCGGTATAATTTACTTTTTATAAAATTATACTTTTATTTAAAATAAATAAATGAATAATGGTGCATATATTATTATTAGGACAATCACGCCATATGTTCTGAAACTATTGTGTCAATGTACTCAAACTTAAAATCATTTTGAATCAAAATGACACCTATCTATCTATAAGTTTCCCTATTTATTTATTTACTCAAGTGTCACTTATCTGTACGCTTGCAATCTATTTATCCAACTATTTGTCCAAATATTATATATATATACACACGTGTCACCCATCTATCCCAAGATGGAACTAGGATTTTATTACCAAAGAAACCAAGAGAAAATTCATTTTTTTCATCATATATACAAGTGCATGTACAATATGATATACAAGTTATATATATATATAGAAAAAAAAATTAATATAATAAAAGCAATTTCTAATAGGATGAAAAAGTGTTTTTTGTGCAAAATAGAAAGAAAATGCAAGATAGGAGAAGAACATGATATATATTTATTATACTGGGGGGTCATTTTATGTATAAAATGATATAAATATATATATTTAAAATTCTATGGCAAACAATATTTTTTTACAGAAACATATAGGTGTCTATGCCCCCTTATAGTATTCTCATAGTTTCGTCCTTGTATCTGTGGGGACATATTTTGTGAATGACAACACGTGGCCAAGGTGGCGTCGAAGTGTCAGCCGATATGCCACGTGTCTTGGTCATGTTGCTGAGGTGATCTCGGTTAAGCCGAGGTTATCTGCGGAGATACCGGAATCCGAGATGAGGGGATAAGGGAC